CCCCAAAACCCCAAAACCCCAAAACCCCAAAACCCCGTATAATATTTATAGATAGAACCTGAACTATTAATAATAAATATGAAAGTAAAAGGAGAATATTGATTAAGGTTGCTAATCTTACTCATACTTATGCTTCACTTATCAGTTGCTGTAAGTCATTTGGTGTTGAAGATTACTACTTTACTAACAGTTTGCTTAATTTACAAACTTTGTTACACTTTAATGGAGAAATACATGTATAGTTTTCTATTTTTGTAAGAACTAAATAATGCTTGACTATTTTACCTTTTATTGTGATTCTATAAACTTCACTTAGAAAATGTAAGCATTATAGTATATCACTCCCCAATCATTACCCTCCTTAAAATTTCTTCATTCACCAATAACCAGGCTAAAACTTAAATTTCTTCCTCTCCACTATCCTACAGCCTGAACCTGGCCTAGGTGTAACCTCAGTGGCAGGCGGCCAAATCTGTGTAGAGATTTTAGGGCTTATTGGGTAAGAGGTTTTGAGGATTGGGAGAATGAATGGAAGAGGGGTGCAACTGTGTGGGGGTTGGGGGGTTTGGATTTGGGGAATTTTTATGGGTGTTAGGAGTAATTTTAGGAATATTTAGGCATTAGAACGGCTTTTAAAGCAACTTTTTGAGCAAAGAAGTCATAGCACTATATTTTAGCATTATTTAAGAGCCTTTTGAAATTCAAAAATTATCAACCATTTGTTAGAGGACAGATGAAGGGTGGTTTCTCTTATTTTTTATTACTCATTTAAAGGGATTATAACAGAGTGTCATTTCTGCTTGATTAATCAAACTGAGATTTCTCCTAAGTTTTTATCATACCATCAATGTCAAAATTATTATTCATGCTCAGAATTTATTTGGCTTGTTAATAACCCTGAATTACCGAAATAGTCTTTATTAGGTTCTATCAACTTATGAGTTGAAGCTAAAGTCTTCTCTTAATTTTCAAGCGTGCAATGTCAATTCAGCTAGTAGTAAATTTTGGGACTATTTTAGAAGAAGTTCTGAAATAAGAAGATTTCATACATAACATTCTTTTGAGTTTTATGAGGAACCAAAGTACTTCATTTTTATTGCTTGGACAATTTAGAAATCGGGAAAATGTATCCTAAAGGTTATGCTTGCATCTTAGTCCATACTGCAGCTCTTTTATTACGAGTGTTGGTATCTTAAAATGTTTGTTATATTTATCATACATTTGAAATTAATATGTCATATTTCTCCAACCTTAATTTGGCCAAAAAATTATGAGCAAGAAGTTTAGTGTCTGCCCATAATTCTCTTTGTCAAATTTTGATAATATCTGTGTTTTTCTGAAGCTAAGGAAAGATTTCTAAGGCTTCGGAAAGTAATTTGAATAACAAGTGTTTACTAACCGTTATTTCTAGTGAAATCCAGGATTTTTCGAAGATGAGTTCTCATGACGAGCATGCCACCCTAGCTGAGGTACATGAGATAGATACTCGGCTTGTATGACTTGAGCTCCAGAGTTCACTAGTAAGTTTCCTCACAAAATTTATAATAATTGGTCTTCCTCTATTATTCACGATTAGGAGAAATTTTAGTCATTTTTGTGAGTAACTTTTGCTGACCTTGGCTATAGTGAATAGCATAACAGGCCTATGTGATGGTCAACAGTGATCCTCAGGTAAGTTTAGAGTGAAGAATTGAGTTTTTGGTTAAGGTTGGGAAGGATAGGAAAGAACTTATTCTAGCAATTTTAGGTCAATTTTATTCGAAATCTGCAAAATCTTGTGTTGATTGTGGAGCCAGCTGATCATATCAATGAGCATATCAGAAAAGTTGCTATACTTGTTCACCTGGAGAGTATTTTGATTTAGACACATTCTCGTGTGTCTCAGTGTGTGATCTAAGCACTCAGGTTGCTATTGATGATACTAAGTTAGGCGGAATTCCTCTTTGTAGAAGCTTTAATTATTACGTCAATCCACTAAGCGATAGTACTACAGAGTTAGGAACTTTAGAACATCCTTACAAAGAGCTGAATTCTGTGTTTTTAGAACTGTTCCTCTTTCATTCCCATTCAGATAGGCAAATTACGATCAATTTGTTTGAAGACACTACAAACTATGTGAAAGAAGGAACTTATTTAATTGAGTTAAATAAAGTGACGATAAGGTCTTATCCAATTGGAGAATCTAAGATGCGAAAAGCAAAGTAAGTATTTTCCAAAAAAATTAAATTAACATTATAGGATTGTCGGAATTGAGAAAGAAAGCAACAAAGCTCCATCTTTGTTACCTTCAAAGTTTATTTTATTGAGTAAGACCTTTTCTTATCCTTTAGGCTCCTCTGTAGTCGATTATTTGAGCGAGATTTCAGCAGATTCTCAAATTTCTCCTGAAGATAAAGATTTGGTACTGAATCTAGGAAACGGTATCTTGTATTGATTTAAGACCAGCCTCCAGCTTGATGACTTGTACATATCTACTGAGTACTCAAGCATTGGCATCAGCAAAGTATTTTTGAATCCTATCCAACTGTTGGAAAGGAAAATTTCAGTAGCATCCTCAAAAATTTTGCATGAAGGAAGATTCTTACACAGTTCCCAACAAATGAGTTTAGAAGTGATCAATTCTGAATTCGATTTATATAAGTCTAAGGGAGGTTTCAATCTCGTGCTTTCATGCATACAAGGACAGGAGAAGCTGCCAATCTCGACTCATATTTCAAATTCGAAGTTTTACTTCTCTCAAGGTAGGTTTAATGTCTTATTTCTCTAGATCCTCCTGATAGTTTGACAACAAATTTTCCTCCATTTGTACAGAATGGTGGGCATGATGTCTTTGTAGAGAATGTTACTCTGATGTTTTATGGAGATAGTGGAGCAAATGGCTTCAATTTCCTACTGAGGCCAGATCAAACATGAGACTCTGTAGATATGACACAGAGGACAATCAGCCTCAAAGATATTAGAATTGACAGTGATCCTTCTTGGGGATATGAACCCGAAGATATGTACTTTGGAGTACATTTGAGGTAAATCAGAGATTAAATTTGAGCACTCAATTGAGTCTCTTTACCCAGGAAAAATCCAATTCTTACCTTATTGTATAGTGAAAATCTAGCAAGCGCTCAAAATATGAAGTACTTACTGAGAAATTTAGAGTTCTCAAACATTCAAGTAAATTACTTGGAACTGATAAATATCCAAGGAAACGGACTCTCTGAATGAGAAATTTATAACAGCTCATTTATCAATATGACCACCAAGCTTGAGCTTTTTAAGATTGCTGGATGACAAAGTATGTTCACAGCTAAATTAAATAGATCCAATCATGCATAACAATGTATTCACAAACATTGAGATGCTCCAGAACGGCCTAGTTCATTTCGAGACTATAAATGGAGGGATATTCAATTCAACAACTTTGAATAATGTCCATCTTCTTGGAGTAGGAAGAGCAAACCTAATCACTTTTATCAATTCTGGACAAGGAAAGCTACAGATTAATGATTTTAACTTCCTTGAGGGTAGCATCCATAATCTTAAAACTCTACTGAGTTTCTCAAATCCTTATGGTGAGACTCTGCTAAATTCGATGAGCATCATTAATGTGTCTTCAAGTTTATCTTCCTCTTACATCAAATTACTAAGCGTAAAGACGAGTACTTTCAACTCTCTTTTGTTCAAGAATGCTTCGACTGCTTCAGACTCGAACACGAGCAATTGTCTACTGGATCTGAGAGAGATGTCATCTCCTCTAGACACCAACACAACATTCAATTCAGTTACGGTGGTTGGCTGTAAAAGCAAGGTGATAAGTATCCACAATTCTGAGCAACTTGTGACTATATTTAATCAATACATTACTTTCAACGATTTGGTGATCCGGGACTTAGACTATCCTAATCCAGGGTATCTAATCCAAAACGGCCAGATCTTTTCTGACGGAATCTTCAAAGTAGTCTACAATCGTATGATAGTGGAGAATATATATTTTGGGAGAATAGTAGATATGATAGGGTTTGCACAGAAAGTAGACCAATTCTTTGAAATCAGAAATAGCATTTTCAGAAATATTTCTAACTCAGCTATTGATGTTAAAGCTCCCCAGAAGGGAACAGGGATTCGGACAAGGGTCAAATTTGATAATGTTACTATCGAAGACTGGTACCTTAATTATATGTAAGTGCGCATATTGATCCTTTAGGTCTCTGATTGGGATCCAGACAAGTGCAGATCTGTATGTCAATAACTGAAAGTTTGTGAGAGTAACAACGGTTTATGATACAGCTCTTATTTGGGGGTATAGTTCTAATACTGAGGTTATCGTTGCTGATACTCTTATCACACAAAATTCAGCAATGGTTGCTGTCTTATTCCATCTTCCTAAGCCTGTATCTGTTCAATGAATAAGGTAATACATTTATTTAATTGTAAATACATTTTTTCTCACCAAAAATTTCTTTAAATTGAGCAATTATTGATTCTCATAATAGATGAAACATCACAAACAACTTTGCTGTAAGCAACGGTGTTGCATTCCTTGATGTTGGGGCTTCGATACAGTTTTTTGACAGTGAGATAACTGATAATCGAGCCTATACAATTCCTGTTATGGACTTATCTCTTGCTGAGAAGAAGAGCATCTTCAATAATTGTAGAATCAGCAACAATAGTGTCCTATCAAAGGAATACATAAGAAATACTCTTATGAAGGAATGTAGGTTAGACTAAGTGACTTTATAGCTCGATTCCATCCAGAATTTGTATGGAGGATCAAATCCCGTGACTGGTATTTCAGCGCAGATGGTAAGAAGTTCAGTTCTATCTTTAGAAATTTTTGAAGCAGTTGTAGTATCTCTGATGGGAGAAATTGACATTGTCAACGGCACTATTTTCTCACAGCAAGCAGTGGCTGTCAGAGCTGTTGATTCCTTTGTTAAAATGGAAGATGTCAAAATCATCGATATTCAAACTCAAAAAGATTTCATTGTTTCTGTTCAGGGAAGCATTGGTATGGCAAATGTGACTGTTCGTAATTTCACCTCAACAGTAAGTTCTGATATTCTGAATGCTCTTGACTCAGAAGTGAAAATGGATGGAATTCATTACGAGAAATCTCAAGGACAATTTATGAAAAGTTTCTTCTGAAAATTAACCATTAATAACTTTAAAGCTCAGGAAATTAGTAATATTAGCTACCTGTTTAGGGTAATATCGAGCAGTGATATCACTATTAAGAATAGCACATTTAAATCAATATCTTCAAGTCGCTCTCTACTTAATATTTACAAATCAGACATTCAGTTATTGGAGGATATCCAAATATCCAACATTTCCAACAGTGCGATGGATTTCTCTTCTAGTGAAGCTGAGCTATTTAACAATATTACCATCACAAATTGCTCCTATGCGTTCTTGGTCCGTGACTCATTTATTAAAGATTGGAGGAATTCTATATTTAACCAATGTGGAAATATTAATATTGAAGAAGGCGGTGCCTTACATGTGGTTAGGAGTAATATTACTCTTCAGGGTTCCCTCTTTACTCAGAACAAAGCAAAGAGCGGAGCTGCTGTTGCTATAAATTGTGATTTAAACAGCCAGTGCATCAATAAGCTAAGTAACAATATTTTTGATTCAAATGCTGCTAGTGTTCAAGGGGCTGGAGTTTATTACAACATGAACAGACCTGTGATAGAAGGTCTACAATTTTTTAATAACAGTGCTCCTTATGGAAAGAATATTGCTAGTTATGCATTCAACATTTTATTCATGGGAACTAATGAAAACAGGATCAGCATCGATTCTGTAGGGAGTGCGATTTCAACCGGAGAAAGCTATGGAGTCAGGATAGTTGACTATGATAATCAAACTATGAATCTGATTGATACAAGTTCTATTAAAATTCGACCTGAAATTTCAGACTCAAGTATTTATGGTAAGGAGGTTATTTAATCGAGAGAATTAGATTTCGTTTCATTGTAGATTGACTACATGGAACCAACTTTGCCTAACCTTACTTTAGTTGGAGGAATCGATAATGCTAGAATTGTTAATGGGGTTGCAAACTTGACCAATTTCGACTTCGTTGCAACTCCAGGATCCCAGAAGGTCATTTATAATGTCGTATCAGGGCATATAGATTACAATAAGATTAATTCCCTCTCTAATTCAGTAGTCAATCCTTTGAGGACTGTTGAGAGGTCTGGATTTGTGGTTGACTTCAGATACTGTAAGCCTGGTGAATACGAAACTGAAGCAGGCCAATGAAGAGAATGTAGCATCAAAACGTACTCGTTGAAATGGAATTCCACATCTTGTAAACCATGCATGTCAAACGCTGTGTGACTTGGAAAAGATCAAGTTGAGATCAATCCAGGATATTGGAGGAAAAATAAAGAATCCAGCCATGCTGTTCAATGTCTTAGAGAAAGATCATGTCTTGGAGGCTTCAGCCCTGACAACGAACATCCTATAAATTGCGAGAAAGGATATGAAGGATTCTTATGCTCAAAGTGTTCTATATTAGATGGAGAAAAGTATCAACCATCATCAAATCATGAATGCCTGAAGTGTCCGTCCAAGTTAGTCAATGCAATTGAATTTATTGGATTCCAGATTGTTTCACTTGGATTCATATACTTTATCATAATTCTCAACATTAGGAAGAAGAGTGAGAATCAATTCTCGATATTGATGAGGATATTCACCAACTACACTCAACTTATTGCTGCAATCCTCTCATTTAACATTAAATTTCCAAATTTATTTGAAAGCATTTCTTCGCAAACTGGTAAAGTGAGTTCACCTGAGAGAACTTTCTTTTCATTTGATTGTTTCATTGAGAACAATGAAATTAGGATGTTTGCACCATCTAACGGACTCTTCAAACTGACATTGTACTTATTTCTTCCTATCTTCTTGCTGATTATAGTTTCTGCTGGGATCCTTCTCTACCGAATGGTGATGCAATTTTGGAAGCCTCAAAAGCAGCATGACTTGAAGAGATACATAGCTATTAGTTTTATTTGTATAGTCTTTATCTTCCACCCAGCAATGACGTTTCAATCCTTGAAAGTGTTCCAGTGAGCATTAGTGGATGATGGAGACTCAAGAATGATTATGCATATGGATTACAAATGTTTCTCAGAAGACCACCTCAAGTGGATTTTCTTTGTTGGGATGCCTATCTTGATCATTTGGGTAATCGGAATGCCCTTTATAGCCTTCATCATTCTATTCAAGAAGAGAGACTCGCTTGATAATTTACAACAACAAAAGTATTTGCTGATTCTTTATCAAGGGCTGAAGAAGGATGCCTTTTACTGGGAGCTAGTAAACACTTTCAGAAAGTTTCTTGTACTTTTATTCAACGTCTTTCTTAGCACATACGATCCATACTATAGAATTCTCGGAGCCATTGGTAAGTTTTGAGTATAAAAGTTTAGTTTCCCTTGTGATTTTGATAAGAGTTCAGGAGAGACTGAAACCATACAAAAAAGACTCTAACAACAGAATAGAGATGATCGCTATCTTTGCTAGTATAGTAACCCTCTACTGAACAATCGTTTACGTAACTAGCGAAAATAGGCTGAACTCAGTATACTACGGGAGTTTGTTCCTCTTATTTGTTGTGAACGCATTTTTCCTAGTAAATTGGGCTTATCTCGTCTTATGATATCTCGACTTCAAGCATCCATGCTTTGTTGCTTTCATGAGGATGTACAGCTTCGCTTTATGAAAGAATGGAAGTCAATTCAAGCCAGAGATTGAAGAAAAGAGGTTGCTTACTTTCCAATCCAAGAATTCTAGAAAGATCAAGAAGAAAAGGGTCAAAAGAAGATCGATGTAACTTCAAAATCACATCTTAATATAGGGCTAAGAAATGTAAGAAAAATAAAGTGCCTAGGATATGTAAGAAGAGATTTCCTCACAAAGCATCTACAAAATTTGTTCGCTGGATAAATCCAAATATGGAAAGTATGGATGAAAACATAAAAATAATGGGTACTCCTAGCCATCCTAACGAATCTAATGTTTCAAGGGTACATGAAACTACTGTTGTGATGGCTAAACCCTCACTTTTAAATATTGCGAAGGACCCAAGAGGATTCAGAAGGTCTATCATAAGTTGAATGAGTGAGAGGTCAGATGAATCATAAATCATATTTATTAGAAAATATTCTATTTCGCCATCTATGGGGTTTTGGGGTTTTGGGGTTTTGGGGTTTTGGGGTTTTGGGGTTTTGGGG